TTCCGCGTTTCAATCGATCCAGTCTTCCCTGGTATCTTCTCATTTTAAGTGAGACAGCGATAAAGCTGGTCAGCACCACAGAAAGCTGGATGTAACCTAATATGGCAATAAAAAGAGCGAAGCCGCTTCCAAAGTCAAACGAGCACAGGCCCCTATGAGCATTAACTGGCCCCCAGCCTATAGCGGGCAAAGCGGCGATGAAAGCCGCTGACAATATGCCGCAGCCAATAATTTTGGCGACATTAACACACGTGACTTTGGTACGATAAAACAACGGCCGCAGTGTTGCGCAGAAGCAGTCCAGAGCCATTAACGTGCTGATGAAAGAAGCAGACAAACGCAGACAAGCAGACATCCAGTTAAAAACATGACAAAGTGTGTGCATTTGTAAATCTCTGAATCCATTCGAGTCTATTTGAAACACAATAATCGACATTAAAACAGGTCCCAAGTCATTTAGGAGATCTATGACTGCCAATGAGCCCACTAATAAATCGGGAACACGACGAATCCGAAACGATTTTATCGCCAGAATGAGTAGACCGTTCCCTAGTAAAATAATTGTGAAAAATAGCGGCAATATTGATAAAAATCCAGCGCCGTATTGATTATCGTTGTCCTTTGTAGACAAAGAGTAATTTCCTTTGTCCATCGTTGTTTATTCACACTTCCAGCGATAAATTCAGTTTTATTAAAAATGCAGATGGGAGGCGGAACCCAGCCCTCCTTTATAAATAATGGCCCATACACTTTAGATAAGCATCTACCTTGATAAAGTGCCTTTTTAGTGTAGGAAAAATCTTCCTGAAAAAAAAAAGAGAGTAAAACAAGTTTGCTGAAATGAAAAGAAGTTATAGGAGCATGCGTTTAGTAAAATCAACAGTTTTTATTGCCTGTAGCGAAAACGACATTTTTCATTATTAGCACGTCTCGACCGATGCTTAGCTTTGTAGCAAAATGTAACCCTAAATTTTGCGGATTATTTCATCATTGGGATGTCCCATGCATAGGAGAGCGAATATATTGTTATCTACTGCGTGATTTTCAGTGCAGAACCTGATTTGTACTTGTTCATCTATTGAAAACGCGTACGGGAACATTTAAACAACCCTGGAACTTAATTATCCAAATTAAACGCGAAAATAAGGAAGCGCCTACTATGGTATCTTTATAAATATACATCTTTACCCGGAGAAGGGCTAGGGACATAATTTGCCATGTTTTAAAAAACACGTCTCTATTCAAAACAAGGGTCGGCAGCGCGCTGAGCAAAAATCGAGATAGAAGGAAATAACAAGAAGAGTTTACTTACCAAATATGCGAAAATGTGGACGTCGAACACTGAACCTTATATCAAGCGCCATCGTCCTTGGGTTTCGTTCGGAGAGCTAGGAACGTTAATCCCCGCACATTCGCTGTATTGAAAAATAACAAGAAGAGTTTACGTACCAAATATGCGAAAATGTGGACGTCGAACATTGAACATTATATTATGCGTTTTCGTCCTTGGGTTTCGTTCGGCGAGCTCGGAAGTGGAATCCACGTACATTAGGTGATTTTAGTGTAAACAAATAGCTTTCACCTTCCGTTTGTTGGCATAAGTATCTCTTTAACAGCTGCGTTTACAGAGATAGAACTCGACTAAATCATAAAGCAAATGCGGCTTACTAATATTAATAATGTAAGACTTCAATCTTTTAATCAGTTTTAAAATACGTTTATTGGAACAGCATTTAACTAAGATGACGTTTCCTTCAAGGAAGATTAATTAAAACCATTCTAAGAAGGGAAAATAAATAAATGTTGCTGTGTTTACGCAAGAAAAGGAGTCAAGATAAACGACTATCAAGGCTGCTAGACGACTATGGGGATTGATTTTCATTTTCAGGTTCTAAAATTTACTTTTATAGAATCTGCGCTTTTTTTTTAAAAAAAATAGTGACTTTGTTTCAAACAGTTTGAAGGGTAATTGTCTTTTGGTGTCGTAAAAATACAACAGTTGTTGCGTCCCCGTCTTACTTTCAATCTGATTCTCAGAAAGATACGTTAAAATCGTAATTCATTGCGAGGGAAAGACAGGAATTAATTTCTATAGCCAATGTGTTTAGTTACTGTCATTATATGAAAGGGGATGCGTCACGGCCATTTATTTCATTTTGTTTAATGCCAATTACGGAGACTTATTGGCTATGAAATTGAAGGTTACGAAATATATCAAGACTATATATTAGCACCCGATTACTTTTGGGTTCGCATTTTATCTCCTCACTGTCGCAAACAACCGGCTTGCGCAAATATAGCCTACTAAAAGAATAGTAAATGGAGTGGAATGGTTTCGAAGCCCGTATGACTCCTCTGCCGTACTAATGTATGTTTTTGTGGACTTGACAGAGCAAAACGTCAAAGAGCATTCCTATCATTTTGATCTTTTTGACCAATAAAAACGTCGCATTAAATTAGGCGGTCACAATTTTAGAGGAAAAATCAAAGGGTTGTGCACGGTCAGGGAGCTTCCAACATAGAAGACCTTAGATGATAACGACCTCAACCAGCGGTCAATTTAATAAAACTTTGACACGTGTAATTTACAATTGTAGCTATTGTTCGGGTAAAACTAGTTTGTGGAACTGCAGACTGCGGGACCGCTGCGGAACCGGGTAACCTACGGAACCATAAGAAATGACTGTTTTATTACAACTGCCTTTGGCTAATGTGATAAAATAATTACTAGTACAATTAATTTTTTACAATGACTGAGCGATTTCTCGCCCGCTGATTGGTCGAGAGCTATTGTCGATAACAGTACAGATCATGGAAAACTGTTGTCGATTTCTAGCCTGCGTGGCAGGCGCAAAAAGGGGAGGGAGAATGGGAGGGAGAAAAGCACGAAAGAGGGGAAAGGGAAAGGTCCCTTCCACTCTCTCCCCTACCCCTTCCCTTTTTCCCTTTTTCCCTTTTTCCCTATCCCCTACCCCTTTCGACACCCGCTACGCAGGCTAGTCGTTTTTGGTTTAGTATCACTGTTCGAGAGCTCTGGTTCCGAAACAGAAAGTCCTCGAATCGCGGACTTCCGACTTGTTAGTAGCCGTCGGAAAGAAACGAGCGGTATAGATTTAAACACAGTACGATGAGAGAACGATGAGGGTAGGTTCCGCCGGTTCCACAGGTTCCGCGGTCTGCGGTTCTACAGATTAGTCTTACCCCTATTGTTCTCAGACGCTAAAACAATAGCTACGCTTGTAAATTACACGTGTAAAAGTTTTATGAAATTGACCCCACGTTGCGGTGTCCAGCGGTTTTAGTGAAAACAAGGGTTTGGGTGGGGTGCTCAGTCTTGCGGGCTCACAAAACCTGGTCTCTATCATTTTTATTGACGGATTTTCTTGAGTACATTGTTGATGTTTGCCGCCTTTTATAAGCGGTCTCCTCTACTAATTATGCTGAAAGCTATGTATCAATTCGTTCCAAAGAAGATCATTGCAATAAAAGGGTGCACTTAAAGAAGCTGTATCTTTTTGAAAGGATTCATCAGAAGGATCAAGCAAAACACAAGGTTAAGCAACAAGTTTTATTCTCAACCAGTATAAAAACTTAAAATATCACGTACATAATCTTATGTTTTAAACATTGTATTTATTTCACGGAACGGTAGCTTTACTTTAATGTCTAGCAAAGACGACGACAACAACTTTATCAAGTAAGGGAGTTCGCAAATGAATTTCCCTCACAAAATCCTACATTAAGCACGTAAATAAGGCCTTTAAATAAAAAAGGTAAAAAATAAAACAAATTAAAATACGATTCACAAAAATGAAAAAAAGGAACTTGAAAACCTTTCTGACTAAAAGACATTAAGAAAAAACGAAACATTGAAACGAAGTCCGAAAAACAGACTAAGGCATTCAAAAGTTAAAATGGAAAAGAAATAAATTAATAGTACCAAGCAAACTTTTATGAAAGTGGTTTCATTTGAATGACAATACAAATTTACAACCTAGAGTGAAAAAACTATCTTACCAGACCTCGAGGTTATTATACAGAAAGGTCTTTGGTTTCCCAATACGAAACGCAGCTATCTCCCCATTTCCTATTTATAAAAGAGATTACAATTCATACTGCCCTAAATAGCAGCAAACTTCGATTTTAACAATGAACAATTCGTTAATTCTACTATAAGTTCAATTACAAACTACAAGTTATTTTCATAAAGTACCCAATAACCTTACTAATGTACGGAACACTTATACACTGAGTTGAATTTCAATCGATAACCTGTTTTCAAAAGGTACTTGGTATCTAATGTAATGATATAATGAATAATATATGCATGGTTTGTACAAGTTAAATAATATCTGTTGAAGTCAATGACATGAACAACTTATATTTTCTACTGACTACAAATTATATTCCCAATTCCATTTTTCTTTCAGAAACTATTGAGAACAGTTAAAAATACCCACCATTTGAAAGGAGTGGTATAGAAAACGTAAGGAAAAGTTCTTTTAAGAACGATTTTCGCCAAAATACCACCCAGTAATTTTTTAAATTCTTTTTTGAATCTACTTTCAAAAGGCACCTGGTACCCTGAATACTACAAAAATAATTTATGCATGGCTTGTACAAATATAGTACTTTAAGGTAAGTAATCACTTTCTTTTTTCAATCAATGACATAAATAACTTGTCTTCTAGAGACTACAAATTGTATTATATTAGTTTCAAATTATATTTTTCTTCCTGAAGCTCATTAAAACGTGTAGAATTACCCACCAATAAACAC